AATAATAATAATAATAATAATAATAATAATAATAATAATAGGAGGCAAGCAAATTTATGCGTCATTCCAAACGAACAAAATTAACCGGAGATGATATAAATCATGCATTAAGGATAAGAAATGTCGATGTATGTGTGCAGTGTGTGTGATTATTTGGTTTTTTTAAGGAATATTTTATTGATTTATTTTTATTTTGAAAATTATATTTACATTTATAGCCATTATATGGTTTTGGTTTAAGTGACAATTCTAAATTTCAACGAGTCACAAATAATCAAGTTGATTTATATTATATGGAAGATGAAGAAAATGATTTTGAAAGTGTTTTGTATTCAAATATGCCTAAAGTACCTGTACAAGTTACATTTACTTGTATGTGTATGCGTGATGTTGGTGTGATGGACAAAAAGACCAAAATTTAATTTATTCTTACCCTCATTTCTTTTATTTAATCTTTTCCGGTTATTGTTTTTTAGCTCATTGGCTTGCAGTTGAAGGAATTCAACCAACCATACCGCACAATCCACCACCAATTGAAGGTTGTATTTACTAATATAATAGTTATTATATTGATTAATATTCTCATATTCTCATTAACTGATCAAAAAATTTTTTTTAATAGATCGTAAATCAGAACTACTACAAAATACTACTAGTACTAATAATAACAACATAAAACAAAATGGTTTAACTTCCACAACAACCACCACAACCACCACCACAACCACATCATCATCATCTTCAAATATAGAAATTAAACCTTTAGTACAACATGTCTTATCTAAAGAATTAGAAACTTTTTATAATAAAGTTACCAATACATTGATTAATAGTCAAGATCCTACCACTGTTACTGCCTCGACTAATAGATTGAAACAATCTATTTTAAATGATCTAGAGAGTGATACTGGTTTATCACAACTTGTTCCTTATTTTGTAAAATTTATTTGTGAAAAAGTAAGTTATGCGTTGCTTGCATACATACATACACATACATACATACATACATACATACATACATTTCAATTTGACTCATTATTATCATCTTAGGTTGCAGAAGGCGTAAAAAGAAACATTAGGCTTTTAGAACCTATTTTACAAATGTCTGAATCATTAATAAACAACAACAGCCTTTATTTAGAACCTTATGTAAGTTTTTTTTTAAAAGAATTTTTTTTAATTGATTATTTTTTAAAAAAAAATTAATTTGATTTAAAAAAAAAAATTTTTTTTAAGTTACATCAATTGATGCCTGCAATATTAACGTGTATTCTAAGAAACAACTTGGGAGTACATGATAATTCATCTTCTGAGTTACAATGGCAAATACGTGAATTAGCTGCACGTATAATCGCCAAAATTTGTGATAGATATGGTGGTACTTATAGTTCTTTACAAACTAGAATAACAAAACTTTTAATTGAAGCTTTAAATGATAATGTTAACAACAACGATGATCAACATGACAATCAACATCGTTATCAACATCGTTATCATCATAATCATCATAATCATCATCGTCAACATAATAATTTGCATTCTCATTATGGTAGTATAGTAACCATTGGCGCCATGGGGCGTGAAGCTATTAGAAATATTTTAGTGCCTAATTTAAAAAAATACGAAACTGTTCTTAATAAATATTCCAATGATTCTGTTTTGGGGGGTGTTGTTACTCGTAATTACAATGCTATATTGGTAAGCGTTATTCTTTATTTTTTATTTTTAATTTTTTTTTTATAATCAATCAAATTAATTATTATACAAAACCATTTAAGGATATATTATCAAAATTAAAAGAATCTGTTGATCCAATAAAGTTACAACAAATTCAAAATACATCAACTAGTGATGTTTTACATGAACAATTGGTAAATAAAGTCGGACAATATTTTGCTAATGGTGTTATAAACCAAATCGCCGACGAACAAGTTATCATTGCAATTATTAATTCATAAAATCATGTGTTTTAATAGTAGTAAAATCCTAATATAATCCATATAAAATAAATAGTCATTTTTGTTTACTGATTAACATCTACTATCATATTACTTGATTAGGAAAAATTTATTTATAAACAAAGATCTTGTTCCAAACCTGAAAATCTTATTTGATCTTGATTATTATTCCTATTATTATTCTTATTATCATCTTACATTCACAAAACGTTGCATTGTGAATTTTAGACCAACATCGTCTTTCATAAAACATGTTTATTTTTATCTATTTGAAATCCTCAAGTTCTAAGCCACCTTCAGATCTGATATTAGATAGTTTATCATTTAAATTTCTTTGTGATATAAATTGGCCAATTGTTCACGTCATCAAAAATGAAGTGGCGCAACAACAAATACAAAGATAAGGATTATTTACTACCAGACTGGTTTCAAGATTATCGATTAAATTAGTAATAACATTCACATCAATATAATCTTTTGCTGAATAGTTTCACTTTATCTTTAGTCTCCAGAATTCTTGACCAATTCGTTAAGTTGATTATGCTTAATTCTATTACTTTGTCGTATATAACAAACGTCGCCAGATTGATAATTGCATACCCAATAAAATTAGATCACATTGTATATGGAGAAAGACTTTATTTTTTTTTTATCTTAACGATCCATGACTAATCTCCATATTTTTTCCAGATTCTTAGATGACAAAAGCCTTTTAATCTGTAAACCATGCCATAATAATAATTGCTTAGAAAAGCCAATCTTTTCTATCATAGATTCATTAATATCCTAGTTCGTGAGCTGGATTCTATTGCTGTTTTTATGCTTTTGGAATCAAATTTAGTTGTAGTGCTTCTTGTGTTCGCTTATAAGATGACACATAATAGAGTAGACAACTACCTTTTTGGTTTTATCTTCTACTAATTCCACGGTTACAACAATATATTCATACCATGATCTTTAGAGTCAAATTTGGCATCATCTTCATGTTTCATCGCCAGCAGATCCAATTTCTGTAAATGTGATTAATAACTAGGTTTGGAGATAATATCTCATGCAATGCATTAATAAATACAGTCAACTACCAAAGATGAAGCAATTAACATTTTTGCCATCTTCAACGGTAAGCTGGATTTCTGTTCAATATAGCGACTACTTGTCAGCTAGCAATGCCTTCTTAGTGCCTGTGAAATCGGATTGTTCTGTGAACTTTGAATTGGATTCGGTCAGAAACATTGTTGTTATAATCATAGCTTTCAAATATTTTAGAATTCCAAAGCACTGTTGCTAATTTTTTTTTTAAGAAGTTATGTTGATTGATTAATATGATTATGGCATGATAAATGAACTTTAATAATTGAATAGAACCTGTTGCACGAATATACTGAAAGAAAAGGTAGTCAATGATTAACAGAAATTATATACCTTTGTATCTATCTATTCTCTTGAAAGGAAACTACTTCTGATTCAAATAATTGATCCATTACATCTTTATAAAGTTTAGTAGCTTTGTTTATTGCATTTGATATACTGGTTGATGAGTGGATTTGACATCATGAATCTGTTGTTGGTCAAGTGATCTCAGGTCTAAACACTCTCGCCTTCCAAACATCAAAGTAAATACCCACTTTTTATACTCTGTCTGTTCAAAAACATGATATCGAGTTGGAAATTTTTCGATTCTGGAAAATAATAAAGAACTAAATTAGCAAATAACGCTTAATAATCTCATCAGAGAGCAAACATATATAATGCAGCGGTGTTGATAAAATAGAAAAGAGGAGAGCGCTAGGGTAATTCCAGCGGGTGTTTATGACAACCATCGACAATATAAACGGAGGCTGTATGTGCCGTAGGATATTGTGTATATCAAGATAAACATGATAAAAAATTTAATCACTTAACTGAAAACATGACACGTTCAAGCAGAGGAAAAGAATGCCAAGAATTATCCTCATTATACTATCAATAGTCATAAACATGTCAGAAATATATTCTGATTTTTCCCTCATTTTTACTCTATAGACAACACAATCTTCAACCTTCTCATAACACTCTTGACATGCTATTAAGTGTAAAGCAATGCGTATTTTCATTATTGAATCATTATATAGTTGCACGACATAATTTGATCTCAAATTTGTATTTTTTTACTGTGCCTAAAATTCACTCTCAATTATGTACATCGCTATCATATTAAAAGTGCGCTGACCATACATTATTAGCAAACTAATGTGCGATTAGTAATTTTACGTGTAATTTATAATAAGTTTTGTTTTAATTGTCGTTTTTTAGAATTACCGATTTTCAAAAGCTAACTCAAAATCAAATAAGGACAGTTTAAATTTACCATTAAATGATTTCTAAATTCATTGTTTACGAATTCGAGTTTTTGTCGAGGAAAAAAATCGCCAAGTATTGCTTTTGGTATGATTGTGTACCCGTTGTAAAAGTATATTCTCTTTGCATGTTCACACCAGTTGCAAGACATTATCACCTTCCCATTATTATCTTCGCTCCGTTCAAGCAAAGGGTAAATTCGTAACCAATTCGGATCAAATCTTCACGCGCTTTTTTATTTAATCTTTGTCTAGCTGCTACCTTTTTGGATCATTCATTGTTTCTTTCTTTATTTACTTGCGAATAACAGGTTGAGGGAATGGGGTGAATAAAATGTAATATTTAAGAAATTTGAAAAAGTTCACTCGGAAAAAAATCGCGAGAAAAAAAAAAAATTTTTATGATTTTCGTGTGCCTAAAACATTGCTTAATCTACGATTTACAGTTGTTATGAAATTCAAACTAATATAAATTTATTTACAACACAAACAACTAATTGAAAACAACTAATTGAAGAAAACGATATTTGTAAGGGATATATGTTTTGGATATACTGTATATAGAAATAAAATAAGTCATTAAATAATAAATTTAATTATCTACTATTTCTCAGCCACAACCAAATTGATTTTAAAGTATATAAAACATTGTTATAATAATTATCTTGGCGTTATTGAATCTATTATTATTATTTATTATTGCTTATCACCAGTTGCTCCAACCCTAAACACAACCCATGCCATGCCGATAGGTTCAAGTTAAGCGTTTCTAACAAATGCATGATAGTTAGGTGGTGCACAAAAGACATTTGGTGCCAGATTACCAGTGTGGATTATATCACGTAAATTATACAAATCTTTGTACCTACGACTATTTGTTCCAAGGTTATGAGTAGCAAGGATATCCATCCCTGCATCATAAACAGCCCAGCCATACTGGTTAACCCATGCTGCATATTTGGTCTTAACATCAAAATCAGATCAAATTCTTTGCGTTGGCAAGTTGCTTTTCATATTTTTATTTTCTTTCTTCAAAAAACTAATCTACAGTTATGCGAAAAAATAACTTAACTACAAACAACATTAAACCATTTTACTATTAATTTCTTAAAGGGTGACTGCATTTACTTTATATTTTTTTTCCAAAAAAACTATCTGGCGTATAATCAGAAAGACCGTTGAAAAATTTAAGTGTCACGTTATATAAAATTTTTATTTATAAAAAAAAATTTTCATCTTTACATACAGGTGGTTCCTTTAAACACAAGAAAAACAGACTTTTAGATAAATTAGATGAATAATATGGAATTTCCATCGAACTATTACAAGTTAATGAGCCTTAACTTCTTTATAATTTCTAAAACATCATTGTCATTTTTTTCAAATAATTCTGATTGGTTTTCAATTGATCTGAACATTTTCACTATCTTCCAATCCAGTGAAGCTCCTTTTCATATTAGAATTAGATGACAAAGTATTATTAAGTGATGAAACTTCATTAATATTATTTCATTATTTGCAATTGTATTTCCACCAGATTGTTCTAAAATCTTCACATGAATAGTATATACTATCCAAAATCTAGTTAAAATTTTTTTCATCTAACATTAATTTATACCTTGAGTATAATATCTGTTTTTATTACATTTGCAACATTGAATTAACCTCTCTGTATCTGTTATTTTATATCACTCTTCAAAAATTTTCATGAACATTTGTCAATATACCAAATTGATTCATGTACAAAGTGATAACTGATATTATGAACAGCTGTTTTCCCAATCCTCCCTCCATTATTTTCACTCAGCCATTCAACAAGTTCTAATTCTAATTGTTCAAATCCATTCCTTGCTGGCTAATTAAACATAGATACAAAAAATATAAACTAATAATATGTATTTATCATTAAATTAATAGAATTAATTGTTCTTTTTGGAGAGTTATTGCTCGTGTTACCAGAATTAGGATTTAACGCTAATTTGTTAGTCGAAATCAGTGTTGGAAATTCGTCGATCTTATGATCTGCAAAAAAAAATTTGTGCACATATGAACACAAGAAATTTTTATTTAAATAAAATTCGTAAAATTACAAATTATAGAAATAAATAGTTCTATGAATTAATTCTCCTATTTTTTTTATCTTCCCAATATTCACATGCTTTCTCAAAATTAAAGTCTTCAATTTCAGGTCCATTTAGTAAAATCATCAAATGATTAT